GAAACCACAACACCAAAATAAATTCAATGCCTTTTTAAAACTATAAACTAAACCTAAAACTTCAAACCACTGACCTACACGTTCAGGCATTATGGCATTCACCAAGTTTTATGTAGTCAAGTAGTAGTTAAGGTTTTTAACCAAAAGATATATGCCACAAATTACTGTTTGAAGTTGAAAACAGTAACCAGACTTTAAATTTTTTTCGCTTTTCCAAGAAGGCATAATTGTCGGTATTATCTCAGCCAATCTACATGTATATGTACAGTAAAATGATACTATATTACCAGCCAAATGACATTCAGAACAAAATGTTGATAACGGACAACATGATATACGTTATGAAACAACTAGCCAGCATTAACAAAACGAATGACTTAAACAGTATTATCCAGTCATACTTATACAGCATAAAGTAATAATAAAAGAAAAAAAGATATTCCTCACTCTGTTGAAGAATATGCTGCATAGCTTCATCACCTAAAGTCGCATAGAGAGGAACAACAGGAAAGCCATACGCTGCACAAGCATGTTGAGTGATAAACCACTAAAAAAGAGAAAAGATATAACCAGAATTAAGATTAAGTTAATTTTCAGCTTTTTAGATGTCAGAATTATATGCTTCACATGAGGTTTATCTCTTCCCACCTAAACCGCTAACACAAACACACAAACACCAGGGTGTTCGGCAAGAAATATATCCAATGATAAGAGAAATCTAACAGTTCTGCTCACGTTTACGACGTACCTGGACCAAGCTTTACATGCATTGTCTTGATTTGTAAAATCAACTCTAAGAAGCTCTTCATATCTTCGGAGTTATGTATCAAAAGTGATGTATACATACCAAATGTACACAAACTCCTAAATAATAGAATCAATTACACCATTCACAGATAAATTACAGGAAGATAAAATGACACGCAAGCAGTTCCATAAACTTCAGTCGCTACTCCATCAACTTTCCTAGTCGATGTCCGTCTTATTTTCAACACCTAAGTCCCCAAGTGTTACTTTCCTGAGTATTAGATGGTATGCACGCTTTTAACTAATAGCTAACTCGCACACCACATACTATCGACTTCAAAACACCAAAAGAAAATAGAGAGAAGGAAAAACTGGTCTGGATGGGAGAGTTTGCTGCCTCAGAAAAGACTGGAAATAATCATGTGATCTTGCCAAGAATTCACAACATTAAAATGTTACAAGCGACTGTAAACCAATCAGCGAATCACCTAGGAAAAAGGGCGAAGAATAAATTAGAGACCATGATGTAAAAAAAGGGGTAAAAAGAAGAGCCTAAAAGTGTAAAAATAAATAATGTGCTATGCGATTCTAGGGCCATATAAAAAGTGGGAACCTTATATATACCAATATATGCACATATATATGTTACAAACCAGTTAGATGATAAAGAAATGGAGAGTTACAGAGAAGCAAAAGCAATCGTAATAACTTGCCTCAGGTGAATTCCGCCATAAATACCAACACAATTGTCGCTCCACTGAATATGACCAGCAATCTTCACCAAGGCTGATCCAAAAGTCTGTATTTTATCATCCACCTGGGTTGACAATGAATCTATCTTAATAGCAAAACTCACTTCTATGTACCGTAACCACACATATGGTTCATCTGGACTAAAGCGCCGTCCCAAACAAGGCTGAAAACCTGAAAAAGCAAGGAGACAATAAAGTAAAGTGTATGTTAAAAAAAATTAGCCAAGTCCACACAGAATTTCACTTTGAACTTCATGACCCCATTTTTAGGAGTTTCAGTAAGGATTTTACTGATTATTCATAATTCTTTTGCAGTAACCCAAAAAAATAAAACTAAATGCATAATTCCATTTATTTGCTGCTTAAACTAGCTTAGTGAAGATAATGTATAACCGGTAACGCAACTTTGAAGAGCAGACGAACGTTCCTAATCGTTTACACTTGATACATGACTCTTAGTTCACTTTCGATAAAGAAAACCTCTATCATACCTCTTGTCAATACAGCATCCTATACTTCGTCTCCTCAAATTTAAGATGCATCAGTCTAGACCAAACCCGTTGTAATCAGTTGTCAACTGTTTGAATGAGCATACAAATGCCATACGTTACAAAGTTATGAACAGATTCAATTCGGCGCAAAATTCCCAACTCTACTTTTTTCACGGAACAGACAAATTAGTGTGTTAAGGTTACAAAATGAGCATAAGGTTTCAACGGTTTTGTCTGTTTAAATTGTAAATAAGTTCAACACGCTTTAAAGTTTGCCACTCAGGTCTTTAAGAACCTAAAGATTAGCGTTCATAAACGTAAACTTGGTAGGAAAGAAAACGTAGATAAGAGAATGGTATCAATTAGGCAGAGCCATAGACCAAAGGCTCCATAATAAGATCACCAGTGGTAGTTCGGGAAATATATAGCGTAAGCTCTGAATACCACTGAACGTCATCCAAAGACAAAGAGTATCGGCATTTTTATAGTAAGTGGATAAATAGAGAAAACGCATATCACACAAAACTATAATCAAGTCGTATCACCAAGTCTCAACCAGTTATTTCGAACAACTCAAGGAAACGTCAGATACATCATCAGAAGATATATAAATGTTGGGATATAAACATCAATCATGAACTGTATTCTTTTATGTTATTTTAGAAAATGGAACGTTTAACAAGTAAACTGATAGGCGTTGCACCTTTACAGTACTACACTTAACTATAAGTAATAAAATTGCTTCAAGGATTCCTTAGCAACCTAGTCCGCTGGACGAGGCTGAAACAGTTCAGTTATAGACTGACTACATTCAAGTAACAATATGCGTTTCTAATACGAACTTCGAGGTCAACTAAGTTTTTGTTGAAATCATTCCGACTATGAAGTTGCAATAGGAAAATATTTTTTAAGCAGAAGAGAACAGTTAAAAATACACATAAGTGAGCAACAAAATATGCAAAGAAATTCAGGTTCTACAGGCTTTACAGAACGCGGTTTTCCAAACAGGCCTGGTCTTTTACCGTTACACAAGCATGATGAAGATTGACATAAACCGCTTTTGTTGAAAGAAATGTTGCATGCCATACTTCGACTAGTACTTACACAACAGGATCTTCGCATTCATTTTTAACGGTTCATAGCCACAAATACAGTAAAAGTGCTGCATACTTACGCGATGCGGAAAATTTACCATAATCAACGACTTCAATCGCCAAATAATCAAACACGATTTGAGAATGACGAGTTTGGACACCATCATAACACTACATCAGCAAAATAATATAGATAAACCGTAGGCAGGGTGGACCAGGAGTTATTGGTTTTGAGTGATGATAGAAAAATGTTGTGATTCACAAAACGCATGTAACTTCGAACAAGAAAGGTAAGAAAGAATGTTTACAGAGTCAAGAGAATTCATTTTACTTTGCAGTTTCTCACCAACTACAAAAAGTCAAAAGTTACAGTTATCGTGAATAGTGTGCAAATAAATGACAACTTGATTTTTGGTAATGAAAGCGAATTTCGTAGTGATCAAAACCAATGCTCATGTATGCATCACAAGATACCCAATTGCTGAGAAATAGCAATATTTGGCGAAATTCCGATGTGAAATTGACAGTAGATATTTTCAAACACATCATTCCAGGAAACTTGAACTTCAGAGAGATCTTAAATCTAGATCCATAGAGCCGACTCGTTTCCTAAGAGGTTAATTCGCAAAGTTACCAAGCCGATTTAAAGAAAGAATTAAAATGCGCAGGTTCTTCCTGAATATCCTGTTCTTACTTTCTAAAAACTACATCAGAGATAAAAAATATTCGGGCATTAGTTCCTCGTCCCTATCCAAATGTTACGCATTGAATAGTATAGCCGTATTGAACCCGAATTATATCAAATTCTAGAGTTATAACTTTAGTACTACCAGAACAAATGAAGAAATTGAGAAGCAGGGAACTGAAAATTACCCAGCCAGTTTAAACAATTGAAGTAAACACAAAAAAAGAAATTAAATCAAAATCAAGTAATCAGCCTAGTCAGAACCTAAATATGGCATCCTTTTATATGTACACATATCAGGTTGAAACTGCTTTGTGGATCGTAGTAAGTTTGACGTTCTTCGTGTTCATCATGTTCAACTCCACTGCACATGTAAAAGCCTTCCTTTAATTAATCGATCATCGAATGATAATCAATGTAGCTATGATGTCTTAAGTGGTCAGTACTGACTGCACAATTTACGTACAGAACATCCACAAGAGTATTTTAGTTTTGTGACGAAGAGTGACACAAAGTGGATTGACTTTATTCTGAAAACGTTTTGTTCATTTCCCGTTAAAGACTATGAAGGAAAGCATGCAAATTTACCAAGTGGCTCTTACAATAACACTTTTACTCAGTTCCATTAGTCATAGCAACAATTATTCTCATCATACCCAACACTATGCTCAATTAAATAGTCCTTCTTTCGAAAATATGAATTTTTCGAGAAATAATTGACGTTATTAGTTAAACTGAGAGTTTGTTTGGCGTGCGTTTCGCACCTGTCACATCCAAGATGATGCATCAGGACTGGTCTATAACCTCTCTCAGTTTAAAGATAGGAATTGAAGTAGACGAATGCGCTAACCACTTCACTTGCGGAGTTGCATCAACCAGAAAGGGTTGGTTGCTGACGAAATCTCAGATCGGATACAGAAGGTCCGTTTGGCATTTGCCAACTTGCATCATCTTTGGTGCCAGTGAGATATCCAACTACCTAACAAAGGATGAGTATACTGTGCTGCAATCCGTCCTGTCCCGTTATATACCTGTGATACATGGCCGTTAAGAGTAAAAGACATGAGGCGATTACAGGATTCTGATCACAGATGTCTTCGTAGTATTGCTTGAGTTTGGTAGAATCACTATGTGAACAATGTTGAGGTCAGGTGAAGGGTGCTAGGCAAAAAAAACAAGTCTACTGATGAAGTCAACTGAGGTGGCCTGGACATATAATGCTCATGTCGAGCCACCGCCTACCTCGATGTGCCAAGCTAGGGGAAATTGGATTAGACTGAAAGAAGGTAAAGAGTGGCTGGATCAAGACACGGCACCATACGATAAAACCTCTTACTGTTGGTCTGAGTCATATGAGATGTTAACTACCTGGTTCGGATCCCAGAGATAAAAGGAATTAGTGGTTGAGGACTCTTGGTGACAAGCGGGAAACGGATCACAACGGCGCAGATATATTCACTCCTTGATATTTTACAAACCTTGAATATTTTCACTAACCATTAACTTCAAATTGTTTATTCTATTATATAAATGTGTTTACTTTGATATCACTCTTTTCCCATCCACCTATTCTTTATATATTACTGTCAAATGTGGCAACTTGAACCGATGCATCTGTGTGCGAGGTTTCACGTTGATTTTGTCAGTGTCGGTCACACTAAGAGTTGAGGGGAAAGGGGCAAAAAGTGACCAGTTACTGTACACACTCCTACGTAATATAAAGTACTAACAAATATACTTCTAGAAATAATCCATATCTTACGACAAATCATGCACAAGTACACATAGCTATTTCGCTTTTAGCTGAAATTCGAGAAAAGTGACTGCTGATCAACAGAGACATTTAACTTTCCAGTGTGTTTCCCCTCAAGTTTAAAGAATGTAAGAGTAATCTAACTAATGTAAACAAATGAGGAAAATATTTTCTGCTCATTTCAATATCCGTATTTCTAAACTAATGAAAAATACTTCCAAATCATATCATTTCCCCCATTATGAAACTTTTTGAGGCATCTAATATGAACTTAATTTTGACACCTATAAGGATTTTTCACTTTTATATTGAAAACTTTTTATTTATGCATTTTATCATGTTTTAGAAAATAAGGATACCATTAAAATGCGAATATTCATGTGCAATTGCATGATGAAAGACTTACGTGAGCTTTCTAAACCCTTTTCAAATACATCCTTCATAGTATGTACATCAGAAAACTTTGCTGTAAATCGAGTTGTGAATGGTGATCGACGAGCGCCTGTCTGAAACAACAATAATAATAATAATAATAATACAAACAACAAAGTTTATTTTGATAACGCTATTAGAAGACGAAGATTATCTGAAAAATGTTATGTATTTGCGCAATACATCACATTTTTCAGATAATCTTCGTCTTCTATTAGCATTATCGAAATTTATTAAAGGGATCAATTGTTTCAAACAAAGTTTATTCGTAGATTTTTTAAAAATGATACATAAAACATTTTACACAAATGTTATGCTTTAAGATTAGAAACAAAAAATGAAAGTATCTTATATATGCTAGTTGTATTGTTCGCTATATGAAAGATTCACAGTAAATAACAGAAAGCTGGTAGTGAGGAAATCTAATTACAATTAAGTAGAGGCCTGTCTTCCTCACTAAAATAAATGACTTTATTATCAGCTCTGCATGTTGATACACGTTTATGCTAGACTAGAATCATCGAAGAAATGCTGTTAAAATGGAATTAATTAACTCTCCTACAGATTAACCTCGACCTATGAAAAATTGTCCCTAGGAGATTTTGCTACAGTGATGATATTATGGTTGCCTATAAGAATTATAAGTAGCAACTAAGTTTGATGTTGAGATGTTTTGTAGTCGTCCAAGGTTGTTTCAATAAGCAGTCAACTATGTTTATTAGATGTTACATTTGCACTTTGAGAACAACGCTTCACTAACAGGAAAATATGCAGCACATCTAGTTTGTTCTTGTTCCGACGAGAAACAAAAAGTATTTGGTCATTAAGAAGTCCACCAACTGGAAATTTAAGACCTTTCTTCTGCATAGAAGCTAAGAGTTTATTTGACAAGTTAGTATACTGATCTACACGGACCAGGTTGGTAATAAACCAAATACTAGAATCATAAGTAAAGTAAGTTAATTTACATTCATAACTGCCTTTCTTTACTGCTATTTGTTCAAAACAACAAAAGGTACTAACCATGGGGTCCACTATGATTGACTGCCTGTTTAAATGAGGACACATAAATGGTTCTGACAAGTCTGGTTTGTATACCTTGCAGTAGGTATGAGGATAATCTGATTGGCTACCTAGAATTTCAAAAAAACAGTTTTCAATTGAGAAAAGGCATCCAATTGAATGTCATTAGGAATAGTGGTGATCAGATTAAAAACGCCCTGATAGATTATATGGACAAATAATCAAGGTTACACATTAATTTGCCGAGCTTCAAATTCAAATGCTCATAAAAACGGTTAAAATGGCTTCTCCTATAACTCAGGCAAACGGAAAAAAAAACTGTAGTTTAGGGTGTTTATTAAAGCCGCGTTAAACAAAAGATCCTTTTCATTCAAAGGACACTGCTTGTTAACCAAAAATTAGTGTCAGTAGTAACCACTGATAAGAAATGATGCAACTCAGTTATTATGTGATAGTAGTTTATTCCCTGAATGGTGAGTAGAACTACCAATCAGTGGAGTAACAAAATAATATTAGTCAATCCGGTACATATACATGTTCTAAGCTATGAGCCACACTTTGTATTTGAGGGCTTATGTTACTTCCTGACTGTCCAGGTTCAACTAGAAGGTGTGGGATTCGAACCTAGGACCTATTGCTCAATAGCCAGGTAATTTAGCCAATAGACCATATCTACATTCATATACCGCGACCGCTAGCTGCTACTTTAAATTGGTGATTCAACGCGATGACTCAACGAGCTATGCTGGTGGAACGCTTGTTTCCTTGAGGTACGTCCTATCATACCAGAAAGATCTGTTGAGTAGTGGTTAGACAAAATGAAGTTACCCTCAACATGCTCTTAGACAAAGATGTGATGCATCATGGTGGCTTAGACCAGTCATCAGTGTTTAGTGATGATCCCAAACCACAGGATATATGTCTGACTAGGTCTTCTATAATAAACGCCAATAGTCGTGGCATCAAAAAGGCCGCACGTGACAGGCCTCTACCAAATGTCCCCTGGGCTCTGCGGTCAAGTACTAACCTTTTTTTCAGGTAACTCAGGAAGACCTAGCCTTCCACGGTGTCGGAAGTCAGGAAGTGTCAACCACCTTCAAAACACTGTTAACGTCCAAGTTCCCTCAGACCATATCCACCACCATCATTCCTACCTTCCTTCACGTCTCTCAATTGACAATACCATATCATCTCTAACTTTTATATACGCTACTTTCGAAAACGATCTGAGTCCACAAAACAGCATGCCTGATCTCCTTAAACTACACTTCAAATTAAAAACTGGAGCCTTCAATATCCGCACCCTCCATCAAACTGGCCAACAACCTACGTAAGCCGGAACTCTAGCAAACCGGGTCATGAATGTGTGCTGTGTTTGTGAGAAACGCGTACAGGACCCAAGTGCGGTTTTCTACTTAACCTCTCCCGGCCAATATGGTGAACCGCAAAATGTACATTTCGAGTTTCTAGAGATTCGATAGCTGGTTCTCGCGAACTTGCAGGTGCAGGCATAACATTAAGCACTAGGACAAGAAGCTCACTACTAGGCAGGATCCCAGTTGACAGTTGCCTATGCGCTGTTCGTCTGAACAGCACAGTGAGGGCTAAAAGGAACCGTATAACTCGCCGTTGTCTTTTTGTAATCAATCCTAACAAACCACTGACTGTAGTTAGGACGAAGTGAAGGATGAGTTCTACCGAAAACTGTCCAGTTTCCTACTGAAAGCCAGACGCTCAGATGTGGTTGTTGTCGCAGGTGTTATCAATGCTCAGGCGGGTAGGCTAAGTCAAGCAGAAAGGCGCTTATGTGGCACTTTCGGAATCCCGACTGAACAAACAGATAACGACGATCGCTTGCTGCAACCGTGCTCAGATAACCATTTATTTCTGGCTAGCACAAACTTTAGACATAAAAAAAGACGTTGTCTAATGTGCTGTCCGCCGAGCTCAACTCAGCAGTGGACACAGATAGACCATTGTTATCAGCCATCGCTAGAGACGGTCTGTAGAAGACTGCCGCTCCTTTTGGAGCACGTGTCTCGATAGCGACCATGCATCGGTTTGAACGCATATATGTCTGCGTCTCAACGGACGTAGAAAAACGTTATCAACAACACCACTAATAGTGCACCTCGACAATGAGAGCACTAAGGCCGCTTTTAGAGAGAAACTGGCTACGAAGATATCGGAACAGAAGACTATCACTCATCTACAAGAAGCTTGGTGTCATCAACAGTCTGTTGTAAAAACAGAGTAGAGGACCTCAGCCAACGTTCAAAGAGTGGATAAGAAACCAGTGAATATATCAGCAGCTTCTCCTGTATTCATGTAAGTACGTGAGTGACAAAATGGAAAAGGGTAATCTGTAGCACAATACACTCGATCCTTTATAGACTATCAAATATCACATCAGCGCCACAAATAACGGAAGACGAGCGAGCCTTTTATATCCGGGAAGGGATTTCTTCGCTCACTGACCTACCAAGGCTGATCTGACTTCTGAAGTACGCGTGTGACCATCGCGCTTAACTATTTCACTACCTATTGTTAGCCGGGGCACCACTGAAGACCAGTTTTGGGGTAAGACTTTGCATTTGGGTGGTGAGAAACGGATTACGATCATTCTAGGATTGCCATTCCAGTGAGACACTGCCATGAGACCTCTTGATTGACGGAGTCGAATGCCGCTGTTCGGTCGAGAAATACTGCTAGTTTCGAGTGTCGGTAAGCATGCCTGCATTCCAAAACCTGGAGGAGAATATCTGGTCAACACACCCACGGTCGTCTGAAACCTGTTCCGTTTTCTCTTCTCTTGCTTCCAAGCTCCACCTAGACATCTGGTAGTTATAAAATCTAGAATCTTAGACATTATCCTCATCAGACTGACTCGTCTTTCATCGTATTGGGAGGATTTCCCTCCTTTCTTTGTAAGGACTTGGGATAATCAGTGATTGAAACCAGTCGGAAGGCATCATATCTGACTCACATACGCCATATAACACTTCAGTTAACGTGATCAGCAATCCACAACCACCATCCTTAAATGCCTCTGGTACTGTTGCCCCTTCTCATTTCAGGTTACTCACAGCTTTCACGACCTCTGCAAGTGTTGGAGGCTGTATCTCAATGTTCCACTCAGGGTCCGATGGGACAGTAGCTGTTGTCCAGTTGAACTGTTCGTCAAAATGTTGCACCCATCGTTTCAATCGTGTCTCCCCAGACTGAATCACATACCCATTCTTCTCCACTATGGTTTCACTAACCGTTAACTTCTCACCCCAGACTTCTTGATAAGTTTAAGTAGCTATCTACTGTTACCTGTCACCACTGCCTTTCCATCTCGTCTGCATTCGCTGCCCACCACTGCCTACGATCACTGTGTAGACTTTTTGTCAGTTTATATTTGGGCTGCTTCCGCTCCTCATTGTGCTCGGAGTCTGTGAGAATGCATTCACGCACATCCATTAATTAGGAAGAAGTTGCTGAGATCTACTGATCCTTTCGAGGTTTTTCTTAGAGTCAGTTGTGATCGTGAACATTGATTTTACAGCTGATTGATGCATAGATGAATCTAGTTTTAGTAGAGAATTATTACTTTTTATGAGTTAAGACTATATGTTATGATGTTGCATGAACCTTAACTTTTTTTGTTCTAAAGTATCTCTCTTTCGTCGAATTTTTTTAACAGGTGAGATACGTGTAGTTATGTGTGATTCGGGTGAAGAAGCGTGTCATATTCTAGGAGAGTTCTCCTCTTCTATAAATCTTGTAATAATTGCAAACAATGACCCAAAGGTTGCAGAAGCTAAGGTTAAGTTCTCGTCTAATGTCAACATCTAGTTATTCAATGAGTTTTTATATTTACCAGCACAACTTAAGCATGTCATATTCTCAAACTCTTCGTCTTCCACTTTTATTCATTCATCTTACTTCCTCGTATACACTTTCTGTTAGGACAGCAGAATTATAACGCTTATGAGTATCTTCTTCAATCGCTTAGAGTAATCGTTTTTTAAAAACTGAAATATTCATTAGAATGCCCAACGAAACACTTAGTCAATCAGAAAGAATGATTGCTGCCTTAAGCCGTTTATTTAACACATAAATTCAGAAAGCTTGGTCATCCATCATTCAAAGGAACTGAGATTAGGGTATCATCATGTTGGGGTTTAGCTATGACTTGGAGCATCCAATTATATTATTAAACATGTCGCAATTCTAACTAATTAACAGTGCCTAATAAGCTGCTGAACAGAACCAGCAGGTCAAGTACTTCATGAGGTCCTGATATGTCAGAAAGATCCTTCGGATAAAGATGAGAATAAAAAGTTACGGTTATAAGTTGTGCCTGGTTCGTCCTTGGTCACGCGTCAGGATGAAGTTTAGGCTAACCCCTTAATGGGCGCAAGAAAACAAATAGAAGTTAAACCTGTATTGCCGAATGAGAGATAGGAACGTCAGGCATATAATCAGAGAAGAGGCAACTGAGTGTCTGAAGATGGCAGGAATTCTTCTAATAAAACCCACTGCGATATTCAGCCTGCCCCAGAACCAGAGGTAAAGATCTCCGGTAACCTACGTCCGGCGGTTAGCAAAAGCCAGTGAATTTCCACAACGTCATTTGAAGTGCTTGATGCAAGAAGACTTATTCTATGTGGTTCTAGCCACAATGAGGAGGCAAAATACCTCAATGTAAATTGACTAAGAGTTTTAGTAATGATTACGAAAAGTGGTGCGTGGCGAAAGCGACAGAGATAGAGAAGACATCAGACAGATAGAAGCAACGTAGAACCACACAAGTGTATCGGTTCAAGTTGCCACACACTATAGTAGTATACAAGGAAAAAATGAATAGAAAAGAATATATCAAAGTGAATAAAGTTGTGAGACAACCAGCAATTTGAAGATAAAGGTTAGTGCGAATACTCAATCTGTAGATGTCAAAGAGTGACTACATCTGCACCAATGCAACCAATTTTTATCCATGTCACCAAGGGTTCCGAACCACTGATTTACACGAACCCATCTAGATAGTCTACATCTCCCAATACAACTCAAATCAACGGTCAGGGTCATTTCAATTGATTACAGTTCACAACCTTATTAATCGACTTGCTTGTCTGGCCTAATATCCTTTGCCTGACCTCAACATTGCTCACTTGGTGCTCCCACCAAGCACAAGCAATGCTAGGAAGACACGTGGGCCTGTTGCTTTGCCTTCAGAAGGCTTTCAGGTAAGGAGGTAGTAAACTGCTGAGCGATGTGGGCACTAGTTGGTATATCCCTACCCACCAATGTGCCCGCGATAGAAACAGTGGATATATAGTAAAATGATAGGACTATAGGTATCGGAACTAGGGCATCTACCTTGAAAGAGCTTCCCTCGGATGTTCAGCGAATGTAAACCTCCTCTTTAATACGGAATCCTGCAAACAGTCAGAGGGTGTTGCTATAGTGTCATTATTTGGCCCAATCTTATTTCCCTAGCGAGCTTAGAAAATGGCCTTTTGCAAAGAATAATAAATGAGCTCGAATTTTACTGCTGTTACGTGGCTGATGCATTCTCAATTCGGAAGAACTATGTAGAGGTTATACTTAGTGGGTTTAGTAATGTCCACATAGCGACTACCCTCACCAATGAGAATGTGACGATAGCATCGTCTTAGATGTTCGATTGACAAGTAAGACAGAAGTAACTATAAGAAAAGGAGTATATCTGGGAAACCACTGTCAACCGGTCTCCCTGAAATACAAACGAAATCTAGTTAGACGATACTTTCTGTGAAATTTAAATTATTCGAAATCTACTCAGGACTGATCGACATTCAGAAACGTTTCTGGTTAAAAACATGAACAGATATGAAAACCATAGTACTAACTCCTTCCAAGAAGTCATTTTATAAAACAAGTTTGGGGTTGACATAATCAGTGGAATTTTGAATGCCAACAATAAGACCATTTAATGCAGCAAATTCATGCTGTGTATAGTAAGGTAGGTAGACTATGACTTCATGAATCAACGATAGGCCAACTAACTGCCTCTTTTAAGTGAATTTTTTCAGTTCAACTGCTCCTGTGCAGCTAGATAGATTGGGTATAAAATTAAGCAAGTCTGTTATCAACTTGTCAAAAGTCAGGCGTTACAGACAGATACTAAGCTTAATATGCTCTCACCTGGTTGGTACACTGCCCAGTTAATATTTATTATCACAATCCCATACCTTTGAATGTCATCCATGCTCAACGAGTTCGGCCTTCACATACAGAAGAAACCAGCAGAATCCACCTAAACAAGCCCTCTAAATACGGAAAACACTAGTAGCCTATTCCTTTACCCTAGCCACTTCTATAGCTTATCTACAAAAACATGATACTTCCCTTGGTTAATCTCAAAAAATTACCACTATTACTATTGTCATTGTTCTTTTTTATTATTGTTACAGTCCTAGCTGTCTTCTCCCCGTTGTTTCAAATCACCAACAACTGACCATGTGACGTAAACACTCGTTTTCTTTTTATGTTATCCACTATTATGCGAACTACAAATTATGTAATCCACCGAAAATTTTAAAAAATTTTACCACGCAACTGGTCTTTATGTTCGCTGTGATTACCTTCATTAATTACTTCTCTTTTGGTACTTTGAGAGCGAAAGCCTGTCATTAACCGACTGTCACCGCTGGTATGTTTTTTTATATTTTAGAAATGCTATATATTAGTGTAGGGCCCCTTATGAAACGCTAATTGAAAAGAAATGTCTGCACCCCTACTGCTTTCTATAACTAACAACACCTATAATGCGACTCGTTCACCAGCTCTACCTAAAATATCTACTCCCCACATTGTTGACGTAAGCTCAAATACAAGGATATTGCTTTTATACAGTGTGGAAAAGTGTATCACACTTAAAACTCCTTACTTTCCAGCTATGATTAATCGGAAAGTTTTAGTGCCTTGTCCACTCAATACAAACTAGTGACCTGGTCAGATCACTGGTTACTAGATGTGAGATTGTTTATTTAAAAGGACGAAGAAATTGCTAGGAAAATAGGATCATCGATTTCCAGACTTGCGACGGCTGAGTAGACTAACGATGCTCTACTCGTTACCATGCGACGTGCCCAGAAACTAGATTAGTGCATCTTAAAAGCCTACCAACATCCAGTTGCTACAACAGCTCGACAGTGATCATGCAGAAAAAGGTAGAGGGCTGATTCCGATAACTAACTACTTAAAAATGCATGTAATCTGATACAAGTCAGCAAATTAGTACACTTACTGAGGTACAAATAAAGCAGTAAATGCACTGAAAGTGCTAACTGCAAGAAAATCAAACTTACAAAGCTTGCACTGCATAATGTTTAACAAAAATACAACGTCAAAATAGTCAGGCCGCACAGCTAATCACCTAGCAAGCAGATTATTTGTATTAACGTCCAGTTCTACCCCCGCTGTCCAATATCCAATATCTTTTTACGAGCTAGTAAAAAACAACTGATTTCTTCGCGCTCGCTTCTAGGTGTTGCGGAAAGGTTCCAGGTCTTTGGTGGGTTACGATTCAGTAGGTCTACCCACTCGACTGCTGTGGCTGTGGTTAGCCCGACGGGCGGTTAGGTGTTGGTTACATTTGTAGGGAGTGTGTAGTTTTTTCAAGGACTGCGGCGCAGATGGGTCCCTCAAGTATCATGCCAGCAGAAAGTTGGTTGAACTGGTCGCGAAAAGAAGGTACAAAATATGTCCAGAGAAATCAAGGGAGAGGAAGTGTGAAGAAAAAGAAACAAAAGAGGAAAAAATAATTAGGTGAAAGGAAACGGTACAGAAGAAGAAATCTCGGTAGATCCATGGGAGAGGGGTGGTAGGGACAGCCTTCATCCCATATCATGGGAACATAGAGCAAGTTGGAAGGGAATGAGCAAATAACATTATAGGACGGCTTTTGAGGAAAGAGATAGTATTTCTAGGAGTAGGAGACAGTAACTTGAGATGTTTTCAAAGGGGAGAATTAGGTTAAGCCAGGTTCAGAATGATAATGGTATTACAAAGGATTCGGTAACGGGTTGGCCCTGGTGAATCCTACGGAGTTAGTAGGTTGTATTAGCCTAATCCACATCCAGCTGGATGAGCGTAAACCGTGCTTCGCTGATTAACTGTCCAACCTCTTCTTGAAGCTGTCAGCAGACGGAGCAGTAGCAATCTCGATAGACAATGCGTTCCAGTGGCCGCAAACTCGCAGATGGAAGAAGTGTGAATGCACACAGGTTTTCACCCTTTGGTGGGCGACTCTCCTTGGGTTACCACGACGATCGCCATAATGGCCGTTTAGTAGGATCCCACTGTTGCGATGACTTGGATTAAGTAGTATTTTCTAAGCCGTTATCCAGTCACCACGTAATCCACGGTAGCCAAGAGAGTGGAGCCCTAGGTCTTTCAGCCCGTCCACATAGGGTTCTCACCTCATCCCCACGATGCCTTTGGTTGTTCGGCTTTGGACTTTTTCCAGGAGATCCACATTTTTTTCAGGCGTGTGGTGCAATGACGTTGTGGACATGTAAGTGGGGTCGTACGTAGGTCCTATAATTATAATAACAATAATATATTTTGAATAGTGAATTATAAGAGCATATGCCATTTTTACAGGCAATATCTAAATGTCATTTCCTCATTGGAGCTGCAAAAGTTTTAAAAAAAGCAAATCAGCGTGCGGTACGAAGTCTTCTGGAGCAAACAATTGCTCAAATATAGCTTGCCACAAATACTGGATAAGAACGACATCGTTAAGCAACAGTGGTAAAAACTAATGAGGGTATAATCACTCAGTATGAGGGGCAATAGTGAGTCATGTAATCTATAACAGTATGCTGCATATCGAATTTTGAGAGCAGATGAATCCGAAGATATGTCTGTGTTCAATAAGCTTCTACCGTCTACAGATGGCAAACGAAACTGGAATGGACGTCCGAAGGGGTGGGTGGGGAGAATTTCGGGCTGGTATTCTATGGTGTCATGCACAGTGCAGCAAGTGTTTAGGTCTATAATGTTGTAAACAGTGTCATTTGAATAAATAAAGACAGGGATGCACTTCTATTCAGCTGCTGTTTTCATATTATGGTGGAGAACATAAGAGGTTTCACCATCAAACCACCAAAAACGCGCACGGTTCGAATCATGGTGAGAACCACTCGTCTCTCGGCCTCTGGATTTTTCCATGCTGAAAAACTCCTACTTGGAACACTCAATCTATAGAAACGGAACTCTGACAACACTCCTGTTTCTGCACACGGCTCACTGCCACATATTCGTCTGCTTACTTATCAGCAATTGAAAACTGACATCATTAACTCTTTAAACCGACCATTCTGCCTCCCGTCAGCGGTTTTTGGATGATTCAACTGCCAAACTGCCTTGGCTGTCGGCTCTCTTAGGGGGTAATCCCCCCAAGGAAACATCTTTCCCGGTTCTGCATAGTCATCTGGAGCATACGGTTAAACTCGCTGGTCAAGAGCAGAGGAGCAAGTGACAAGTATCTGAAGGTAAGCCAACATGAATTGTCTTCCTTTATATATTCTGTCCTTCACTATATTCAGCCTTCGACCTTCTTATTGGTATTATATATTTATTTTCCCAAGAAGTTTGTATAGAAGTGACGTGACTGCCCAAGACGCTGGATCCGCAGCTTTGACAGGGATAACGTGGTAGTGCACAAAAAAGGACAATAACGCCCGAAACAACATTCCAGTCTGTACCTACAGACAAACAGACGTAGAACAGAAAACCGCCCTCCTAATAAAGCTGCCAACTTATGTTTCTAGAATTACAGTCACCATCAAATAAGTGATAGAGCAGTACTAGCACGTCACGAACTAGTCCTACCGCGGGCAAGGATCAGACCGCGTCTCTTTCAAGAGATGGCGTGTAAGGCTTAAGAATAAGGCGGCCACAAGCAGTTCATCACAATCCGTGGCACTGTCTTCGAGGAAAGAAGGCTGCGTCACGATACCTGATGGCTGCAGTGTCTGCACTAAAGTTGTTCCGGTAGTCTATGAGACATTTTCACGCAACCTATGTCACCGACAATAATGTAAGCCGATGGAGAGACCACCACACAAATTCTTCTGGTACGTTTGTCCAGAGGGCAGGAAGACCCCCGCACTGCAAATGGGAAGCCTGGAGGAGATGCTCTGCACCACGCAAAAGCTACCAACATCCTCGAATACAGCATGTTTAACATTAAAGGATAATACAAGGGGAATTAGAAGCAGAGATAGACCTCCAAGTGTGTACACTCCATCGAGCGCGGGGACCACGCTGGTTAGGACCTCCGCACCCCTATCCGCCTCAGAGAAAGTCAAGAGCACGGCAAAAGACACTGACTGCGGACCCCCTTACGAAACCCACTGGGAAGTCGGGAGTGCCACCCACAACGAATGCAAGCCAAAGAAGGGCTAACTCGATCACCTTTTCAACATCGAAGTATCGACGGACTCGTTGTTGATCGAGACAGAACGGTCTGACAGCCATCTGCTGTCGGATTATGGGGCTTTCTCCCCTCCATGCAACGCCACATCGCGGAAGCTGGGCATCCCGAGATAAGTCACTCTCTGCGAGTGTTTTTGAATGCTGCCAAAGAGGCTGAAGGCACTCTCCTCTCGCGACAACCGGAAGTTGTTAATATTTGCAAAATTCGGACCAGGCCTGGCAAGCTACGGTCAATAACAGAGGGGGGAAAATCAGCTGTTGGGAATCCAAACAGAAACAACACTATAGTTGCACACGGGATTCCAGAACTGCCATGTGATCGCTTGCCTAAAGATCGGTACCTCCTCGACGTCCAAAAATGGCACTGGCCCTCAACAGAAGTCGGTCTCGACAGAATACCGTCCAACAACGTCAGTAGACTACCGAGAACAGCGCATCTGATGTCTATCCCCACTCCCAGACTAGTCAGCGTCCAATTCAACTCATAGATATTCTACATGCGTGATATAATGCGAAAGACCGTATGGGCGGCCCAATACGCATGTACGAAAATAAGCACAGACTCAAGAAGGAGGGGGAGAGATGGCAATCGCCAAGACCTCTGGGGTCAGTGGCTGTCATGCGGGCACTGACCAGTGAGTCAGGCACACCGAGCAAGGAAGCTCTCGCTTCCACAGCCCCCCACCGCGCACAAAACGAAGCGATGCCGGTCCTATGAGGGCCGCAGACTCCAGACCCAACCACGCAAGCGCTCCTCTCGCAAAAATACACCACCGGCCCTCTCCCCTCGCCAGGCACACTGTAATATGTGGGCACAGCAACGTTAGTGGGATAAGAGGGAAGGCAGAAGAGATGAGGACGTGGACGTGAACGTCAGCCTCCTGACATCATATTTATCACCAAATCCTGGATGTCTCAGGACTTCTGCAACGAAGAGATGCATGTTACTGACATGGGACTCTTCAGCAGGGACAGAGGGCTCAGAAAAGAAGGGAAAGTGGCTCGATACCTAAGCCGTCGTTTAAAGGCAAGTGTGGTTAGCGAAACCACCTCAATCCAGCTCCCAGAATCTCTGCGGTTCCACCTCACTCTCCACCATACCAAATGCCTGCTCGGAGTCATATATCGGTCCCCCACCAGCTCCCTTACACATAAGGAAATGGTCGCCAAGGCTATCTCAACGACTCACTCTGCAGATTAAGATTCCGTAATCACTGCTGGCGACTTCAGTACCACATCCATTCTCTTCGAGGCAGAAGGGAGACACATCAGCCCGAAGCTGAAGGATGCAGTTAAAAAGTGGGTGATGCCACACGCTGGAGACCAGAAGGAAACGCATCTCACCCTGACTACGTTCCGGCGAACGATGACGTCCTCGTCCAGGATGTACGTATCCAACCTCCCCTTGGCCTCAGTGACCATGCAGCAATAAAGTTCTCCATGAATACTGAAAAAGCCCTACAACTGGAGACACCCAGCACCTTCCCTTGCTACAGGAATGCCAACTACAAGACTATGAGAAGCTATCTCGTGAATCCATGATGGCCGGTAGACTGTACTCATCTCACAATAGATGAACACTGGTCACAAGTGAAGAAACCAATCGCTGGGGCCACCAGTCACAGTGTACCAGAGGTGACACATGGACTGTCAGTGAGAACCTCACGCCTAAATAGTGGGGTAGAGAGGCCACTTCAGAGCAACAAACAGCCTTGGTTCAGATGCCGCTCATCATTCAGGGGGTCTGACAGAAACAGGTCCACTCATCAAACAAACCTGGCAAGGAGGTTAGAAAGTAATCCTGAAAACCTGTACCGCCTCATGCCGTAAAGGAAGTCGACCAGCAGGGTAGTGAATCTTATCACATATCCTGATGGGAG